CCCCCCCCAAGCCTTTTCATACCCCCCTTGTCACCTTCCACGATCCGCATGGAAACCACTGGTCTAAATAGTTACATTGCATGAGAATGATCCAAGGGTAAATAACTGGAAAGGCTAATACTAACATTGAGCAATGAAAAGTTGATATCTGTTTTGGTAAGTGTTTCTATGCTTTTCCTTCTTAGTGTATATTGCGTATATTCAGTATCTTTTCTTACAGTTTTTACGAGTCCTGCCCTCTCTATCTTCTTTTTCTTCACAAATTGGCCTTTGAAAGATTTTGATGCTAATGACCATTGTTTTCATTTCCAGACATTTTAACTTTTTAAACAACTGGTGTTGATTTCTGTGTACAGGTGCCAATGCCACAACCACAACTGAAACCCCAACAACCACGGAGATCCCAACAACTGAGACTCCAACAGATCCACCAACGACCGAACCCCCTCCTGAGACGACCACTACCCCCACCCCTGCCCCAACAGAACCTCCGACGACGCCACCCCCAACAGAGCCTCCGACAACAGAACCACCTACTGAACCTCCGACTGAAGCACCCACGACACGTAAGTATGCAGGTTGTCTCTTTTCCTGCCACCGTTTTCCATGGCAGGGAAATGAGATTACCGTGGCATGTTGTTATTTTAGGTTGATGGAGATACACTTGCAATTACAGCTTTGATGCTTTCTTCTCATGGTATACTGTGAATGAACTTTGCTTTTTGGGAATTTGCAAATCAACGTTTACTAGACAAGACTTTATGAGAACAGTGTTAGGAAATGTCAGAGTGTCGAGAAGGGCATTTTATTATTGAAGAGGGATAAATAACTAGCTACACCATTGCATTTGAGCTTTACATCGGACTGTCCAGTAGTCGGTAGTAAACAGGTGGGGTCAAGTAGGCTTAGTAATTAACCTCTTATTAAATAAGGGCTTCTGGAGTCATAAGCACGTAAGCAAAGATAATAAAACAAAATGACAGGAGACAGTGCATGTCTACATGTGGGGTAATGCTTTCTGATAGAAGCAGTTTCTTAGCACAGCTCCTTCAGGCAGTGTTTGATGGCATATAATACAATGCCTTGTGACAACTAGACATGCATTCTGTTCAAATCTGTTAGGTCAGGTCAGTCAAGGTCATTTGATTACCTCACTGGGGCTCTAAAATCCTTCGTTCTCTTTCCAATACCATGCCTGTCCTTTGACAAATTTAGCATGCAAGAGGACATGTTAATGCAAGAATGCTCATGATAATCGTCTTTGTGTGGCCAGTACAGTCTCAAATCATGATAGATTTTATCCTGCCTGCTTGCAATTGTCTGTTTAGCAAGCATGACTTGACTGACTTAAGTAAATTTGTAAAGCAAGCAGTAATTCAGTGATACTGTTGAAGATGCAAACTTGAAAGGATTTCTGTTTATATCCATATTTATTTATCTGTCCACACTTGTATATGTTTAACTAAAAGTATAAGAATGAAGTACATCTGTCAATGGAAGTGAGACTTGTGAAGCCATAAGGAGAATTACGAAGCCCGATCGCTAGAAATGTATAAAGTTACGCTGTTAAATTTAATTTGTTGAATGAGGTTAGAAGCTTTATTTATGTATTATCATGGATTGTTTTATTCCCAGTGCCGCCACCAACAACCACTGCAAAGCCCTGCCCGACACCTGATGGAAGGCACTTTGATGCTCCGAGCTTCTTTGGTTAGTGTGATTTTGACATATATATGTAGCTATTGAGACTTTAGCACTTCTGCTCATATACTCAGATACACACACTCTCGAGAAAATGAAACTCACACTTACATATACGCACACATGCAAAAATCTACTTATACGCACCCCCATATGCGAAAACACTCTCGCTCAAAAAAGAAAGAAAGAAAAACAAACAAAAACAAAAAAACATGCTTACATATATATGCAAGCATGCAAAATTGCTAACTCTCAAAGGTCAACTTACTGACACATACATAGACATGCTCATATTATTTCCTCTCTCTCTCTCTCTCTCTCTCTCTCTCTCTCTC